CTTTTGCCCAGGACTTGTGATCTTTGTACTCCCAAAGTTATTAGAGCTTCCAGAAACCTGGCTCTAGTCTTGCCAACTGATAACCATTTTTTTCTTTTAAGCTCTCCTCTTTGGCACAGAGCGCTGAACATAATGGAAGACTCCGGCATCCAGACGCACTCTAAAGTGTTAGATGATACAGCATTAAAAAGCAACATTATAAATTACTGTATTTCATGAACATGCAGGTAGAAGCTTTGTCACTACCCAGGGCATGTTACAACTTTTGTCTGGAGTGCGCTACAGTTAGGTGAAAGAAAAATTTCTTCCAAGGGATCTGTCTGGAGCGAACTTCTGGCACTCAGGGATGAATTCTGCCTTCAGATTGTATCTTTATAAAAAGAAAGACGTGGCGTTGAGATCTCAAGAGAAGTGTCTCCAACTTCTCAGTCATATCAATTTACAAGCTATGGAACGAGTCGTCACTGAATCAACTGAGAAGCACTTCAAAGACTTAATGACTGGTTCAGATGAAAGACCTCAGACAGTAGGAGGAACTAGACAAATAATGCTAAACAAGCAAGCAGACTCCAATTTATTTGCCTCCTGCACTGATGTTGCTTTATTAGGATCCAACTTGTCTTTTGAGAGTCGGGAGTCTGACCTAATAGGTCAATCCCAGCTTGAGAAAACAGGGAACACAATACATTTGTGGAAATTAGTCTCACACTCTCTGAATGGCCTCTTTCACTCAAAGAGCTTCTCAGGACAATGGTAGGCAAGTCCAAGCCTTCTCAGTTTTTAGGTATTACTGGTTCCTTTAACGGGAGATCACTTCAGAAGGGAGAATGAGTACTAGGTTCAGAAAAATCGAGGCTTCCTGATTTCAGCCAGCATTCTTCTGGCTTATAGTAATGCCCAACGCCTTGCCAGAAGGCTAGAAAACATCAGAGAAAGGAAGTGGGAAGGGCTGCTGCAGTTAACTGCCATAACCAGGCAAGTATCTTTGCTTTTTGATCATTTGGGGAAAAGGAAATACTCACAGATCTAACTATTGTCTGATGAGCATGTCAGCCACAACATTCATCTTCTCCAGAATATGAAATGAGAAAACTGACAGCACATTCTCCTCCATCCACATTATTAGGAAGTAACCCATCCTGAAAGGTTATGGATCTTATAAAAGACACTAAGATGAAGAAAGAATATAAGAAAAGAGATTTATTATGATACACGCCTGGTGTTCTATCTATAGCACAACCTTTCTTCACAGGCTTTCTTAATGAGAAGTAGTCAGAAACCATTACTCAAATGGCACAATAACCCTTCTTCGAAACCTTTCCTAGCACAGCAGAGGTCCTCTCCTAAAAGCCAACGCACAAGAGCTGCCCATGGCTCAAGGAAGCCTTCCAGTCCCATGTACGCTACTTGTTGGGCTTTCTTGGGCATGTCCAGCAGAAAATTCAAGCGTTCAAGGTCAGGTTCTTCAGGGCGTTGAGTAACCTGACTTCATAAAAGATGTCCCTGCCCATGACCTTTAAGATCATCTTTAAAGGTCCCTCCCAACCTAAATGATTATCATTCTATGATGTTAATATGAAGTTCTAGTTTGGGCACAAGGGTACTGATTGTATTCACCACATCCAGGCGTTCTCCTTCCAAAGGGTTTCTTCTATTGGCAACTCCAGATTTAAAGCTGTAGCAACCACCCTAATATCAAAACAGCCAATGAAATGTCTTAAGTTTCTGGAGTTCTGATCCTGCTGAGAAGGTGTTTTTCCTCTAAAGAAGGTTAGTCTTCCTCACAGCACCTGCTGAAACAATTTCAGTTCACGTTTTTCAGAAGATCTGGATCATCCCACACTTTTCCCCCATTATTTTCTGCCATTTGGGGTACCACTGGACTTTATTTCATCAGAGCACGCCACTGGGTAAAACAAGACAGCTCGGGAGCAGCCCATACTTTTGGGTGGGGGGTAACTTGGCTACATAGCCAAAGCCTTTTTCCCTTGTTTCTTTTCCATGACCCTCAGGCTCCTTTCTTGCCTTCAGCAACAGAGATACTTAAGTCAGTTTAATAGTTCTCATATCCATCTCGCTTTTGTGGTCCTGCCCTACTCCTGTGTTTGTGCCAAAACAGCAGTGTGTGTGTGGTCACAGAAAGAATGAGATCAAGGAAAAAAAGTCTGCTTAAGTGAGAATTTTTGCAGGTTTGTTTTTTTTTTTTTTCCTAGCAGATCAAATTCCCAACTTATTACATGACCCAGCTGCACACACAGTTATCACAGCCAGGGTACGAAGATGGAGCTGCTTAATATTAGCACCACGAACGAACTGCTGCGCGGAGAAGTGGGGATGTTTATGGTTATTTTCCTAGCAACCTTCTGCTGCCCAAACCAGTATCAGCAAAATCTACTCTCAACTTTGTCCATATAGATCCTTTTTAAAGCTGGGAAATTCTCTACAGACAACAGTTATGTGAATACCATTACTCCCCTAAGACCACGCTCCAGTTCAGCGCAGCCAGCAAACCTTGCACTGCGAAGGGAAGGGCTGGAGAAATCAGGATGTGCGCTGTGTCAAAGATCCACGCCGCTGCAAGGGAGAAACGCAGCTTTAAGAGCAGCTTGGAAGCCCCTTTTTGGTAAAGCAATTAGACAAGTGGTGATGGGAGGCAGCTAAATTCAGATCTGTTCTCACAAGTGTTGCCTTGCCATTTAATCCGAGGCTATAAAAAGAAAGCGTGCTTGAGTAGCGCGGCACGGGTGTCAAACTGCCCCAGCTCACGACCATTTTGGGGCTCACAAGAGCCACAGCGTTGGTTGACTCTGAATCAGGGTAGAGAACCACCAAATAACACCATGGAGGAGGTCACAAGTTAAGGCAATATTGGGGAACGATGCCCCAAGTTAGACAGCCTCGTCATACACAGAGGAGCATCAGGCTCACACGATATGGGATAAGACTTTTGGAAACTATGTCAATCAAAACCGAAACGATAGTCAGAACTGTTTGGCAGGGAGGCGCAACAGAAGAGCGCAGAATTCGGGAGAAGTTCTCCAAATACTGCAAAGAATACACTTTTTTTTTTAAAAAAAAAAAAAAGAGGATGGTCTTTTACTTCTTGCTAGAAGTCACTACAAGAAAATACTTCCCGTTGTACAGGAGGACCGTTACTTTTGTTATGGCTTTGACTACTTCAGCAGACGCAGTTCTAGCTACCACCACCATGCTAACTGGTAGCTACCAACGTCCTCCAAAGCGGCAGCGTATCTACTTTTCAGAAGTCCTCTCTGGATTCAACAGGGAGGAAGAGTGCTACAGAATGAAAATGTGCCACCTTGGAGGCACTCCTGAAGAAACAACGGAAGCATCTTGTGACGAGGAGAGTAACCATCACTCTGAATCTAGGAAAGCCCACGAGGATGTGCAAGAGAAGCGTGGGGAAAAGGACAGCAGCAAATCCTCACCGTTCAGCCCTCCATGGATCCCATTAGCAGAAACACAAGCGATTGTCCTAAAGAACAGATCGAGCTCTGCTGGTTGACTCGATAGTGAGACAGATCTACTCACAGGTTACCCTCCTGCTGCTCACAGAGGAGTAGCTCGGCACGCATCCCACCGAGGTGGAGGGACCTCACCGTTCAGGCGTACCAGGCTGATGAGGAGGTAAAGGATGTGTCAGGCAGGAAAGGAGGGCAGTTTCACACTGCCCCTGTCCATTACTCACAGCTGGCACCTGGCTCACAGCTGACAAGTTGGACCTTTTCAAGTTCAACAGATGATGTCAGAGCAGCAGGTATGATACCAGGCACTGCCCTGTCTTCAGGGCCAAAGCACACCATGCTGCTACGCCTACATCACGAACAACGTGGAGCTGAAGAAAGCAAGAGCATCCATCCCAAACTGCCACTTCAGGATGTTTCAAGAAGTATGGACTCCTTTTTCAGCTACTTGGATTCCAAATCAGGCTAAGAAATTCCTCCCCTTGAAGAGAGCGTGAACCATTTCCCAAGTGGCTTTCCACCTAAACTTTTTTTTATCACAAGCACACAGGATTTGTGTGAGAAACATATCCAGAATAACAGAAGGTCGCTTTAAGCAATGTATTTTTCTTAAAAACAGCACAGAATAAATGGGTACCAGCAAGATTCAACGAGAACAAAACTTAGCAGCTTCACCAGTTCCCACCTTCTTTAGAATAAAAACTACTAGCTAGGCCAAAAAAAAAAAAATAAACCAAATTGAAATTCTTACAGAAGCCTTTTTTTTTGTTAAAGAAAGAACCGAAGAAGTTGTAAAATGGAAAACCAAAGGCAATAATACACCCAATAGAAATGGCAAGTGAAGCAACTACTGCGCAGGGAATTCAGCAGAACTGTTGTGAGCTACTGAGAACTCTCACAACTACAAGTGCAGAGCAAGGGATACGTGCAGGATACAAGTAACATCCACATAGGATATGTAATACAGTTTTCATCTCTATTTACTTTGTTTAACTCTACCTATCGTGATTTAAACGGCTCCGAGAACTATTCCACGAACAAAGACATTATATTTGTATAAATTAAGTTTTAAATGATAATTCTCACGCTTCACTAGAAAAGTTTAAGGACCACAGGAACTATGGCTCATCTTTTGTACAGCCACACATGTTTATGAAAGATTTTAAGATGTATTGCAGGTGCCTTTTTCAGCAATTTGCAGGGGAAAAGGCTGTGGACAGAAAGAACAATGACATCCCAGGGGAAAAAAGCAAATATAGTTTTTACTTAGGAGAATAATAAGCAAAAGTATTCAAGACGAAGACACTGGTGGAGAACACATGCATTTTTCTTCCATATAAGATTTCTGCTCTCTCTGGCTGAAGGCAGCATCCAAATTGCTTTTGCTTTTTAAGCAGCAGCTATTTGCATATTTTGAAGGAGGAGGGGTTTGTTTTTAAAGACAGATTTGACACACTCCGTACGCACCACAGTCCAAACAACTGGACACAAACCCACTCCTTTACGTCAACATACCTTTAACAGTTTTGACAAAAACTTGTTTCTCTTTACTGGGGTCTTTTTCTTCTATTAGAATCCCATGGAAAATGCGCCCAAAGGTGCCTACGAAGAGAACATACAATTAGTAAGTATTATGTGGTTAAAATACACTGATAACATTAATAGAATTTAATATTTATTACAAAAACACTACCTTAAAACATTCTCAGCCACAGCAGAATGTTAGGAACAACAGCAGTTCAAGCCCAAGTCCTGAATGCCCTGTTAAGTCAACAATATATAACCCAACCACCTCTCCTGCACCAGGTGGACTCAGAACTACACGGAGAAAACACTGAAATTTTTAGGTAGCTAAAATTTAGGGGGACAAGTCTGACAGTGAACTAACAACAGCAGCAGAATCCAGTTAAATTATCAATCCTGATGATGGGTTTTGCTTGTGGCAGTTCAGTCTGTCAACTGTCTGCGCTAAAAACTCCACCTCCGTCCTTTTCTCATCCAGCAGGTCTGGAGTTCTCCAGGTGAAACATTTCTCACAAAGATGAAATTGGTTTTGGAAACGTTCATGGGGAAATACTGGTTTCAGCCAATCTGTACACATAGAACAGTGAAAAAAACACAGCAGCACACATTCAAATGTTTCACCTCAGCTGGAAGGTGTTGGGTTGGGTTGGGTTTGTTGGTGTTTTGGGTTTTTTTTCAGTCTCTCCAACATTTTTCCATTCACAAAATTTTAACGATGCCATCGCACAAGAGGAGCTACACTGACCAGCTGCTGTAAGAACAGGTGCAGCATGGTAACACGCACAGAACTGACTTTTTACACCACTCGGGTTGGCAACGCTCTTCTGTCACGCTATCACCGCGACACCAACGCGCGCATCGTCTTCACGCAGCCTGTTCATACGTCACATCCCTTCCCCGTCCATCCATCCTGCCTCACAAGGCTGAAAGATCTTTAACAGGGATTGCCTCAGCCTGGCTGTACATCTCCTGGCAGGAAGCATGGGTCTCATTTGGTTTCTAAACACTTAACAGGGGACAGCGCGACACCTCTGTCATCTGCCCTGGGACTGCAAGTAAACCCTGCAAGATGGGGACCGTCAAACTGTAATCTCATTAAAAAGCTATTTCACTAGAGACTACAGGCAACCAAAGATGCACAACGTGAGTTATTTAACAGAATCACAGAATGGTTTGGGTTGGAAGGGACCTTAAATACCATCTAGTTCCAACCCCCCTGCCATGGGCAGGGACACCCTCCACTACACCAGGTTGATCAAAGCCCCATCCAACCTGGACTTGAACACTGCCAGGGATGGGGCATCTACTACTTCTCTAGGCAACCTGGTCCAGTGCCTCACCACTCTCTGAAAAATTTCTTCCTTAGATCCAATCTAAATCTCCCCTCTTTCAGTTTAAATCCATTGCCCCTTGTCCTGTCACTACACACCCTTGTAAAAAGTCCCTCTCCAGCTTTCCTGTAGGTCCCCTTTAAGTACTGGAAGGCTGCAATAAGATCACCCCGGAGCCTTCTCTTCTCCAGGCTGAACAGCCCCAACTCTCTCAGCCTGTCTCCAGAGCAGAGGTGCTCCAGCCCTCGCATCATCTGCGTGGCCTCCTCTGGACCCGCTCCAACAACTCCATGTCCTTCTTGTGTTGGGGACCCCGGAGCTGAACGCAGTATTCCAGGTGGGGTCTCACGAGAACAGAGCAGAGGGGCAGAATCCCCTCCCTCGACCTGCTGGCCACGCTTCTTTCAATGCTCCTATCCTGGTTCTTGAAGGCATCATAAGAGTGCCTTAACCACACATTTCCAAAATGCAGATATATGTAGAAGTCAAACGGAAGACAGACAGCACCTTCTACTGCAACATGTTATGGTACCAGGCTATCCATATCTTTTTAAATGCTGGAAATGAAGAGAATGGGGAAGTGTGTACAAGCAGTTACGACTAGAAAAATAATTTTCATGCAATGCAATATCCAGACACAATGAGACTTTAACACAGCATGCTTGTATGGTCCTTGGGTTGGGGTTTTGTTGGTTTAGGGCTTTCTCATGATACCCTGGAAGACCTGTATCTTAGCAGAAATCATGTGTCACAGGTGTGCTGTGACATTTAAAGACAGTGCTGTGAACACGCGACTTCTGCCTCGCTCTCCTCTGGGCTTTTTTGCATATTATGCTGTTTATATTCCAGACTGGACATCTAAGTCATTTCTCATCTTCACCAGAAAATGGTAAAGGTCCACTTACTGCTAACACTGGCTCCGTGTGCTAAAATGTAGCTATTCCATTAGAAATATTTTTTTTTCTTTTTTAAAAGACATCTACATTTTTGTCTCGCATCTAGAACCATAAGAGCTTGATGCACGTTCAGAACCAGGTGCTGCACGAGCCCAGCAATACAAAAGGCAGGTCCCTCTTCCTTCGCACGCTCTCTGACCTGGTGCTTTGCATTTTCCAACTGGTTACACCACAGCAGAACCATCATCTCCTACATTTATAGAAGGTTAAAGTAGGTTAAGTTATGGAAGCTTCTTGAAGTTTATAATGAATCTCTGGCCAAGACCTGTAAAATACTTTTAAGTTCCATTGGCAGCACTTTGGAATTCTTGAAAGTGTTATGCAAACATTTCTATTATTCGCTTCTTCTCCTCTGGAGCTCTTTTGTTCTTAGTTGACAGAGGCTCAGCTCTGCTCTGATCCTGAACTAAAATTGTTGATTGTTCATCAGGATCTGCTTTCTAGTCCTTCGACTTAACTTTTGCAGGTTTTGACGCACTCATACACCAGCTGGAGGCCAAGAAACAAGATCCCAGCATTAAAAAGGTCCACACTGCATTCGACAGCCGCTTAAGCCGCATCCTGTGGAACAGGGCAGATCTGTCACTTGGTGCTAAACATCTGAAGCGTAGCTGGGGTCCTGAGTCACTTCTGTGGCAAAAAACAGCACAAAGGAACACGAAGCACATCCCACGCGCGAAGGAAGCTTTCTGCAGGACTGATGGTGGAGTTGAGCACAAAGCTACCTCCTTAGAGACACACATTAAATGGGGAGTGTTAGCATCCTCCCATTGTTCTTCAGACAGTAACGCAGAATGTTTTACAGTTCTACCTCCAAAGGATGAGCTTCTCAGATCTCCAGCTTTGCAAAGTTTGATTGCTCGTGAGGCTCAGGGAACACAGATTTGAAGTTGCAGCAGTAAAGAATAATGACAAAAAAGTCCCAAATATTTACGCCTACTTCCTAAGTTCAACACCAACAAGAATCAATTAGTGTTGTGCATGAACATTCCCAAAGTAAACACTGAACAAAACATAAGAATCAGGTAATCGCTGAATTTTTCATATCAGAGCTGTAAATGTTGCATCTGCTGATTAGATTTCCAAACCAGAAGCTATTAAATTGAGACAATGAGTTTAGACAACCGAGGTTTTTGTGGGCTTTGGAGGGTTTTTTTGTGGTTTTGGTTGTTGGTTGGGGTTTGGTTTCTTTTGTTGTTTTGTTTGGGTTTTGTTTGCTTGTTTTGTTTGGGTTGATTGTTTTTGTTTTGTTGTTTGTTGTTTTTTGTTTGTTTGTTTGTTTTTAAGAGAAGCTCTCCCATAGTAACTTACAGAAGTGAGTTACTTTGTCACTTACAGCCCCAACTGTTTACCTCATTCCTTAGCAATCTAACCCTTTCCTTTATTTAAGGGACGAGATTATTAAGACAGACAAGCTGAACGATTTACTGAGCACAATTAGTTGCTCCCTCTGTTCTAATGAATTCTGGAGAGTGCTTTCCTCACCCCCCTACACCCCAAATGCAAACATCACTCATCATTCTTCTCCTCTACCAAAGATCAGAAATGTCATCCATGATTAATTTCAGAAAAAAAACTAGCTATGAAATATATATACATATACACACACACTATGCTGTAGCCAACAAGTGTTCGAGACCCACAAATACCTTCTTGGAGCACATCTTTTAGAGTTATCCTCTCCCTGGAGATGGCTATGTCCTTCACTTTAGCTTTTGCTTCCATTAGAGTGACACTTTTAAGATCATTCTTCTCTATCCGTAACGTAGGATAACCTGAGGAGCCAGCAGAGCCAAACAAACCAATATAAATACCCTTATAATGAGAACACAAGCACACTGCTTCACCTCAGCACCACCTACAGGTATAAAGACACGCCAGCAGCATGTGCTTAAACAGATCATGTATTAATTTTAAAAAGATTATAGTGTTAAACAACAAAAAAAACATAGGAGTCATATGAACATAATCATCTGCAGAAAAAAAAATTAATCACACAGGAATTCTATATAGTGTCATGCAATCAAGTCTCATTATGACCATCCAGTAAATAAAACTCCTCCTTACATAGGGAGCTGATTAACATGGCACTGCACTTCCCTGACAAGGAAATAAAGATCAGGGATCAGAGACTGTCAGAAGATTTGTTGGAGTGAGGAGCATGCCTTGCCCCAGCAGGACTAAAACTACCAGTGCCCTCTTCTGGCACTTCTAGATATCCAGATACACCAGTACAGGCAGAAAGGCCTGAACACTTTTGTATAAGTTTATGAATTATTAGAGAAATCTTCAGAATTATTTTGATTAAGTTTTTTTTTTAATTTATTTAAACAGGAAGAACATTATTAGTCCTTCCACAGTCATACTAACTTGGTTTTCAGTAATGTTTATTTCATGCATCCAACCTTTTTTCTTCTTATATTTGTTTTCACCGTTACCTGTGCTACCAGGGGTGTCCCAAAACAGGTAAGAGACATTTGGAAACACCACAGATGGAACACAGCCAACAGGGGCCATTTGGGCACAGTGGCTACAATGCTCATCCAGGTGAGGAGGGGTTAATCATCACTATCAGCTTCGTTTGTAGGCCACCTTCATGACAAGTCCTCCTCTCCCCTTTCGCTCACTAATGAGTTTCCAGGGGTCATATTTTAATTAACCAAACAATGCCAGCTAGAGGGCCAACCTAAAAACCTGAGGTTGAGAGAACATCAACAGCAGGACGTGGTCTGGGAAAAGAGATGGGAAATAAAAAGGCTGGGGAAGGACTTCAGGTGGCAATGGAGAAAACCAGCTCAAGAATTAGTTGCATGCTAAGGTCTCTTCCAAACTTCGAGAAAAGGAATTTTTGTATCTATTTATACTTTACAATTAATGCTTCTAAATAAATTTTAAAGGCAGTTTTTTGCAAGGGAAAGATGAACTCAGATGACAAAAAAATATCCCTTTTGTTTGTTTAAGGAGATACAGTACAGTTTAGAAGAAAGTCAAAACTTTGCCAGAGTTGCAGGAGTTCAGTCTTAGGTAAACCCCGGCTTCCACACGTGGGGATGAAATAAGAAAACACAGTCAGGCTGAACCATCATGACCTTTGTGCTGTGCTCCCTCGTGAACTGCGATGGTCTGTATCACTATCAGAAGAAAATGGGAGAGATTTTTTTGTCTAAAGCAACCAGTAAGACCCAAAAAAGTCAAGTCATTAATCATTATTTTTACCTAGCTCTAAATGAAGGACCTACATTGACATTTCGACTCATTAGATCACTGAACAAAGTCTCTTCAGGCAATTTACACAAAACTATTGAGTATTGTGGAAGAGAAAATCAGTGGTGGCAGATGAAAACAGGGCCTGTTTAATTGATGCCTTCTGAAAAGGTCAGGAGAACCAGGGTACTATTTCAGCGTGGCAGTTCCCACTCCATTGAGAAAAAACAGCAATTTAACAGACAGTTCATTCCTCTGGCCGGGCCCTCCTGTTTCTCCCACTTTGTCATATAAACCCTTTTACCTCACTTTAGATCTTTTAAAGCAGGTTCTCCAGCAGTAGCTTAAGCTACCTGAGTTTGGGCTAAGTCCTGCCTTCCTCCAACGCTCAGTCGCATGGACCCTGTAGCCTCTGAGCTCTGATCTTGGTGCTCATACAGCCAGAGACCCGAGTCAACCAAAAACCCATCACTCTACAAAAAGAGGTCACTTTTTGGAAAGAAATCACCAGTTTTGGGCCCCTCACTTCAAGAAGGACGTTGAGGTGCTGGAGCAGGTTCAGAGAAGAGCAACGAAACTAGTGAAGGGTTTCGAGAACTTGTCCCATGAGGAGCGGCTGAGGGAGCTGGGACTGGTCAGTCTGGAGAAGAGGAGGCTCAGGGGGGGACCTTCTCGCTCTCTACAACTACCTGAAAGGGAGTTGTAGGGAGATGGGGGTCGGTCTCTTCTCCCACGTTAGGAATGACAGGACAAGAGGGAACGGCCTCAAGTTACGCCAGGGGAAATTTAGGTTGGATATCAGGAGAAATTTCTTTCCAGAGAGGGTTGTGAAGTATTGGAACAGGCTGCCCAGGGAGGTGGTGAAGCCCCCATCCCTGGAGGTGTTTAAAAACCGTGTGGATTTGGTGTTGAGGAACATGGTTTAGGGACCCTGACAGTGCAGGGGGAATGGCTGGACTCGATCTTGAGGGTCTCTTCCAACCAGACGATTCTATGATTCTGTATCACCCTTGTAAAGGCTTTTTCCCCCCCATTCATTTCCTTTGCAGGTTACAGCAAGAAGATGAAAAGACTAATTGGTGAGACCCCACCACCAAATACTCCAGCTGTGTCCCAGAGGGTCCGTTGCAGGGGTCTGTAATTAGATTAACACTTACTGGTTACTGGCGTTGCGTTGTTTGGCGTGTCAGCTCGCAAGTACTGGGTCGTCTGCGTGGAAGGTTGGGATAAACCTTGGGAGCTGCTGCTGTCACTGATGCTGTTTTAAAACAAAAATGGACACAAACATGACTGCCTGCCACTGTAATAAACTCAAAAGTAATGTATCAAAGTTAAAACTAGAAGATTTTTCCGGCTAGACTTTGAAAGAATGGCATTTTTTAAGTCTCTCCCACATTAAAATGTCCATCAGGTCATTCAAAAATCTTAGTGCTCCTGTCCTTTGAGCGTAAACAACCTCCTCTTACGTTTCACAGAATTTGCTCTCTTTTCCAGTACTTTTTCCCCACTTTTGAAAAACGGAGGTGACCAAACATTTATTGCAAGAACCATCCTGTCACAGCAGAAACAACAAAACTATTACACTCCAGAGAAGACTCGTACGCGTTTGCTTTGTGGTACCAACACCCCGCTGAGAACCAACGATGACGACGGAAGTTTGGAAGCAGTGCCCTGAGCCAAACGGAGAGGCACCGTAACACCCTGCAAAGCTTAGCCAGCTTTTTCGGCCACAGCCATCTTCTCTTGCCTGCTCTGGGCATGCCACCTGCTGCCTTTTAGCTCCTGTGCTGGAGTAAATATGGGAAAAGGCATTCCCTAGCTGACTGTGCCAACGGTTGTTTGCTCTATACCACTGTACCTGTCCCAGCTCTCCTTCACAGAACAAACTGCTCCAGCCTACGTTGTCATTCCTCTCTCTAAAGGATACTTGTTCCCCCTTCCAGGGCGACCTACAGTGTGTTTTTAAGATATTTTCTTTGGGTAAAAGGACCATAACTGCACCTAGTATTCAAGAGACAGGCAAATCACAGCTTAAACCGTAGCAAGATGTTTTCTGGTTTATCCTCAGACAAAACCCTACAAAAAGAGTTGTTGTAGCTGTAACAGCCTAAGAACAGGTAAGAAAGTTTGCAGGCAAAGGCAGCACCTGTTACTAGCTCAGGTAGCAGGGCTGGAAGAAGCCTTTTTGATCTCCCACCCAAATACACACAAACATCCCCCCTCCCCTTCTTTTGAAACTTAAAAGCTTCTCCACTTCTGCTGACTGTATTGGAAGAACAAAGAGGAGATTGTTTTGGGGTATAACCACCTGCTTTGCCAAATAATCAACATTCCATTTACTTCTTGGACTGCTATTGACCAGCCTTGTAGGATTTTTAGAAATCCTTAGTGATGCCCTCAAGGACCACTGTTAGTTTTGAAGCAAGATTTCCTTTAAAATTAAAAAGAAAGCCAAGTCAACTTTCCCAATTATACCCCGATGACAGAGGTATCTACTGATTTTCTTCTTTAGAACAGAATTTACCGATTCTCACAATACAAACATCAGGCTTACTGATTTATAGCCAGCCTCGAGCCCTCTGGAAACCTTTCCAGAAGTTATTCCCACATTCACCGTCTTCCAGGTGTAGCGTTCCAGCAGTTTTTAGCACGAGGTCAAGAGCTACCATCTTGCTACTCCACTTAACCTCCTTTAGAGTTAGTGAACGAATACTCTCTGGTGCTGGTAACTTATTACTGCTTATTTTAACTGTTTGCCCTATTGTGTCTACAATCTGCTTCAAAATGATCCACTCTCCAATGGTTTCCCTGGAAAGAAGCATCCTGGCACAGTCGCTGCATTAAACACCAATGGGGAACTTGCATTTCGTTTTCCTGCTACGGCTGGAAACTCCTTTTGTAACTTGATCATCGAGCAGTCCCACAGATTTCTTTGGCTGGCTTCCTGCTGCAGGCGAGTTTGAAAAAGGAATAATTCTTTTTAAGCCTGTTACAAGTTTGGAAAACTACATTTTTGGTTGGCTTCATTCTGGTTTTTAGGTTTAACTTGCTCATGTTTATGAGCTTTCTTAGTTTTCTCGCTTGCATACTACGTCAGTTCTTTGAATGATGCCTTCTTGCTTTTCCTAACCTCCATTATCCCGCTGTTAAGCCATGCCAACTTTCTTTGGCACTTTTTCAAGTGTCCTCGATAGGAGGAACACAAGCATTTGCTCTCAACTTCCAATACAATGTTCTTAAACAGTCCATACGCAGCCTGTAAACTCAGCTGTCTGGTTTTAGCTACTATTTCATAGAATCACAGAACGGTTTGGGTTGGAAGGGACCTCAGAGATCATCTAGTTCCAACCCCCCTGCCATGGCCAGGGACACCTTCCACTACACCAGGTTGCTCAAAGCCTCATCCAGCCTGGCCTTGAACACTGCCAGGGATGGGGCAGCCACAGCTTCTCTGGGCAACCTGTGCCAGTGCCTCACCACCCTCAGAGGGAAAAATTTCTTCCTTGGATCTAAAGGAAATCCCCTTTTTCAGTTTAAAGCCATTGCCCCTTGTCCTGTCACTACAGGCCCTTGTCCAAAGCCCCTCTCCAGCTTTCCTGTAGCCCCTTTAGGCACTGGAAGGTGCTGGAAGGTCTCCCTGGAGCCTTCTCTTCTCCAGGCTGAACAGCCCCAACTCTCCCAGCCTGTCTCCAGAGCAGAGGGGCTCCACTCCTCGGATCATCTTCGTGGCCTCCTCTGGCCCCGCTCCAACAGCTCCATGTCCTTCTGATGTTGGGGACCCCCGAGCTGAATGCAGCACTGCAGGGGGGTCTCAGGAGAGCAGAGCAGAGGGGCAGAATCCCCTCCCTCGCCCTGCTGCCCACGCTGCTTTGGGTGCAGCCCAGGACACGGTTGGCTTTCTGGGCTGCCAGTGCACGGTGCCGGCTCCACGTGAGCTTCTCATCCACCAGAAGGATTTAATTATTATTTAGTCCTGGTTTTTGAAACGAAGAGCAATGGCAGTGGGTTTTTCAGCCTCTGTTGCTCCTGGAAGGTCATAAACTCTAATGGCATTATCATCTTCGCTTCGGAACCCCTTTACAGCATCATTTTGAGCTTGTTACTCAAAACCAAATCAAAAGTCGTTTCTTGTCTCATGAGTCGCCACATCAAGCAGCCACTGATCGTACGTAGCACTGGTGAGTAAGGCTGGGACTAAATTCTAACACTGAAACATCACCTCACAGTCTCTTTGCTGGCTCTGTGCACGCTGCGTCTTCTGACTCCACAGATCCTGATCTTCAGGCACATTTTGCCTCTCTGTTACACCTTTGCTACACTCTAGTTGATCACAGCTCCTACCCAGGAGCCCATCCAATGTTTTGTCAGCTCTGGCACCTTCAGACTCAAAAAAACAAGCCACTACCTGGGCTCTCTGACAAACTAACTCCCACTACCTGCACAAACTTCACAGAAATTATCAGAAGGCCACATACTGATTTAAAGCAAACTCTTTAATACCTGCAAACCACAGAGTATTAACATTAGATGAATTTTTAGCTTGTACCTCCACAGAAATCAAGGACAACGAAGTGGATGAAAGGACATTTGATCATACTGCTAGGCTGAGATGGTCTCTCAAAAACTCATAGATGATACTATTCACGTACTCTATAAACATAATGCTTTTCCTTTCTGAAGTAAAGCAAGCTGCACATCCTTTAAGATCTTCTGTTGATGAAAAACCCTCAGTAGACAACAAGGCACAAACAGACTGAGGAAAGCTGACAAGTCATTTGGTTAGTCAGGCACTGAGAAACCATTACTACTTACTACACTGACACCCTCCAAAAATCAAGTGCTCTGGGGACACCAGACAAGTAAATTGTAGAAAGAAAAACACAAACAGATGAACAGACAGAGAAGAGGATGAAAAGACAGAGCTGCTCTGAGAGGCTGCAGGCAGGAACAGAAACTGTTCAAGATATCCTTTCAACAGGGGTGACCACCCACAGGCCCGACTGTTTTTCCAAAGTATTTCGTTTCCAAACTGCCTGTGTCTGAGCAGTTGCATCTGATGCAGATTGTTCACGCAGCCTCAGCCCACCTGCTTGTTCAGCCTCAGTGTTTAATCCCCACTCAGCTGACCGTACTGCCCTTGGGTTCATGTTACAAGTTCTTTTTGCACACCTGTGCCAATTTGGTTTTTCTGGATTGAAAATACATTTGGGAGAGCGCCACGTTTTCAGCTTTACAACCAATCAGTTGTAATTCCCAGACCTTACCCTAAGGCCAAAAAGTGAATACTGGTAAATCAATCAAAATAGAGAAAACTGAAATTCAATCTCCTCTAGAACCCAGTAAAAAAAAACAAGTATTTTCAGCGTGCCCAGCTATCCATCAAATAATCTTCCTTCAATCCTGACAATCCCCGTAGATCTGATTCTGTCAAAATTTCCCCACTGTGTGTCCTCCACACAACTATTCTGGCAGAAACCCAACAGCCACAACCCTCCCACCCCATAAACAGCGGAGCACCTGCAACTACTGCCTTTCTGCAGTACAGCACTTACCACAACTCTACACAGGTAGTAACTGCTACGGCTTGACATCAAGGGCAGAAATTGCATGCTACTACAGAGAGCTCATTTTGAGACCAGGACTCCCACCAACCTGAGTAATCGTGTCCCAGAAATGCACTTGAAAATCCTGAAGACATACCTGTCATCCAACTCGATCCTCTTCATGCTGTGGAGATGCAAGACAGCTAGTATTATTGCCACCAGGAATATAACAGCACAGCACACGCCCACACTGATGTAAAACACACGGGTAGAAGTGGTGGGAGCTGCGTTTACAGGATCGACTGAAACAGAAAGGTGAAAAGTCATTGAGCCTTTCTCAAAAACAACCCACAAACTCCACAATAAATGACATTTCGTTAGCTCCCAGCGGGCTGACATGGCAGGAGGGCAGTGCTGCTGTCCCCAGACTCGCCCCGGGGGGCCCTGCCACCCACATCCGACAGGAGCGGGGAGCTGGAGCCAGCGGAGTTCTGCAGTGGCACCTCGGCAGCGGAGGGCTGTCTGCTGCGGGGGCCTTCAGCTGGTGCTGAGCAGCAACACGGGCACAGGGACTGGAGGCACGGAGGGGCAGCAGCCCTGGACATCCCCAATTTTAAATGATTCGTTGTGGAGAAGGAGCAAAAGAACCACCTCATTCAATCCATTCAATACTGACAAGTCACTACAGTGAGATAGACAGGTCCTAAAGTCAAGAAAATAGATCAGAATCACGTACAGAAACCAGAGCTCCTCAGATGTGATAAAAACCCAAGTTGTTAGGAGACTTGGAATAGGGTTTTCTCCTCTTCACTAGTATATACTCTTAGTTAAAATAATTAACTACAATAAAACCCTACTAAAATACTGGGTATAGTACAGACTACATAGGGAGTGTTTTCATAAGGAATGCTGTGGAAATTGAAAGAATACCATACGTTTTTCCATATTTTACACCCAAATTAAGTTGTACACTCAGAATTACTTACAGATAGCCTTGCTGCTGTTTTTGTCAGAGGCTGGAGATTTTACTTCTGGTTCAAGCTCTAAACAGATGAGAGAAAACGATACGTATTTATTATTGTAGTCCTTCACAGGAAGGCAATTGCTTCATTTATGGAAAAACAAATCTACTTTTCCAAACAGGCAAGTTGACTATAGTTATCCCTGGATTTTCCTTTTAAATACCTAACCATTCTATAATAAATATCACACTTCAAGGCACATGGGTCAGACATATTTCATCACCGATATATACATCCAGCGAGGCCATGCTTGAACCCACTGAATCTACCTACCTCCAAAAACCCTCTGGCTTGTCCACCAAAGTCCAAAGCAGCAGAAAGAGGAGGTGCAGAGTATGTGAGTGTATGCTAAGACACTAAACAACAAAGACCTCACAGAATCAGATATTACAGGACAGAAAATACAATTTCTTGAATGTCCAGTCAATACTACCCTGACCTTTTGGCAGAAATTCCAATTCTATTCATCCTAGGAAAATGGTGGAGATGCAGCCGTGGGCACTGTGCCTTCTCAGCTGATGCTACAGCCATGAGTGTTTTTAAAACTGAAGGATGAAAAACGTAATGCCTATTTAAATACTTATTAAAAGGGAACTAAAGGTACAAGGACAATACTCAGGGTCGTGTGTGAAAATGGTCCTTGAGAAAGGGAACAAATCTTCTCTAAGCTTACTACAAGTCTGGTCACTAAGAGGAGCAGCGCCAACCGAGGGAAAGCAGGCTGTGGAGATGGCTTCAGAGGAACCTCACTGAGGATTTGCTCCCAGTTGAGGCAATAGAAGGGATTTCTGGGGCTGCAAAGATGCAGTCCCACTTTCACATCCCCCTTCCAGCTCCCAGCTGCAAAGAGCTGCTTCCTCCCCAGCACAGCCCCTTCCGACTCCTTGGCAAGCCAGTTCAGCCCGATAAACTTGTGAAAAAGTAATCTGGGGAAGGAGGAGGGGAAATCTGAGAATTTTTCTTTTTTTTTTCCCTTTTGAAACTTTACAAGGAACTATCACAAATGCCTCGAGCAAAACCACTTGCAAGTTCCTGCACATTTTTAACTTACGCACTAAATTAAATCAGAGATCCCCAGATGCTCTATACCAATCAACACACTCCAAAATTGACATTTTTATGAACCTACAGAAACACTATCTTTGTAAGAATCACTTCTCCATAACTTAGGAAGCAATCTTCGAATTAAG